TGTTTGAAATAAATACACACTTGTTCAAGTTTGGCGACGAATCATTTGTGAAACTAAATTGTACTATGAATAAGAGGGGCGAAATCATGCTGGAAGGATAGATTTAGGACCACCGTTTATATTGACCCCGTTAAGAAAAAATTTGAAAAAATAGCGTTAGATTTTTGAAGCACCAGGAATCATAAGGATCACCAGAATTTTCAGTCACATTGCTAAAATTTTTTAGTGATCATCAGTCACATTGTCAAGATCACTGTCAAAAATTCAGGTGATCATCTGGTTTTGAACAGAAATCCTCACATGATTATGGTGATCACCGAGTTTTTGACCAGAGTTCTTGACAATCACCTCAAAAACCTAGCGATCACCAGGAGCATACTTCCAAATTCTAATGTGGAGGCTATTTTCTGAGATATTTTCTTAGCGGGATCAAAATCTAAATGGTAACACCTAAAGATCCAATAGCACGGGCTAACCAGTTTTCGGACTGGTAATTGAAAAATAGCCAGCATTTGCAAAGTCATTGAAAAATAGCCACTATTTTGCTGCAACACGAAAAGTTCCAGCATAATATATTGGAGATTGGAGCACCTGTGTATGAACTTCAATCATATTATGCTGGACACTGGAACTCCAGTATATTATGCTGGAAGTCCTGTATATTATACTGGAAGTCCAGTATATTATACTGGAAATATTTCCCGTATTTTGAACAATGTTTTCGTTCTGATTTATCTTTGTAAGAAAAGTGATTAAATTTCGATTACTTTTGAAATTGTGGCTATTTTTCAATGACCACTTATAAATCTGGCTATTTTTAAATTTCTTCCGCAAATCACCTAAGAGGTTCTTAATGATTTACTGTTGGGTCAAAAGATAGAGGCCCAAAATAGAGTCCAACAATTGGCTTTTGCTGTCGGGCGAAGTGCATTAGTAGCCACTTTTAAGCTCGTTATTTAAGATATATTCACAATTCATAATGTATTTAAAGATTAGTCAATTTATCCAAATTTCAGATAGTATCCTAAATTTTTGAGCTGCTAATTTAAAACTCAGGACAAAGTGTCCTAAATTTATGAACTGCTAATTTAAAATTCAAGATATAAAATTTGAATTTGAGTACATAATTTTGGAACTTTAGAACACAATGTACTAAAATTTGAACTTTGAGCTTAAACTTGGGGACGTAGGGAAAGAGCACAAACAACTGGCTTATCCGCCCTTCTCACACTACAAAATTGATCTGAACCCGACTTCCTATTGGGGTTTCTCAGCTCCGCGGAAGTAAACAGAGTACTGACTTTTGGATTTCGGTTTGGGCGTCTATACATACACCCTTGTAGTTGCTAGGGCTGTTGACTGTTGTTGTTTACACATTTTGCACTTCGATTTTTGTGTCCAAGCACGTCTACTTGAACCTGCGGTCGATAAGGTAAGTTTACTACTCTTTATCTTCTTCTCTTATGCGTTTTTTCCCCAGTATTTTCTGTTTCCGTTTTATGAAAGTAAAATTCAAGCTGATTCCCTTAAACTTCTTGAGTCTATTTTTTCCTGTTGGCTGAGTGGTGCTTAATATTTTCTTTGTGAATTATATATATTGTTATAATTCTAGATGCATTGTGAATTCTCGGTGCATGCATCAAATGAATAAGTTCATGCCATATGTCTTATACATAAGGTCTATCATTTAATCTAGTTACTTAATGAGTATAATTTTACTTCAATTTATCAATTGATCGTACCATGGTAAATAAACATAATTTTATGCATGCACTAGGTCTAAGTAAATTCTTTTTGCATTGGAGTCAAGCTTTGAGTTAAGAGACTCTTTTGTCACTTAGGGGTCGTTTGGTAAGGTGTATAAGAATAGTGCGGAATAAGGTGTATTAGTAATGCATGAATTAGTAATGCATGGGTTAGTAATGCAAGCATTAGTTATGCAAATATTATTTCTTATCTATTGTTTGGTGTGGTGTATTAAAATTATAATGCATTGCATAATTTTTAAGAAAAATAGTTGCTTACAAAAATGCCCTCCATATTCTCTAGCTTTAAGGGACTTTAAGGACAATTTTGTCTTTAACCATGCTAATGCATGCATTAAAGCCTTGGTATTACTAATGCCATGGTTTTCTATGCATTACTTATGCATAAGTTAATGCCAAGTATGATGTATTAGTTATACACAAGTTGAAAAAATGTACCAAACAAGGTATTAGTAATGCATAGAACTAATGCTTGCATTATTTTTTCTAATACCTCCTACCAAACGACCCTTTAATGTGATCAGAGGTGGATGCAGTGTATTGGTATCGGGTTCATCTGAACCACTACTTTTAATGCGGAGCATAAATTTGTGTATAAAAATTCCCTAAAATTGCAACACAAAGTAGGTATGAACCCATAACTTTAAATATATAATGGGTTCAATGTTATGAACCTTCAAGATTGAACTTATAAAGCTTAAATTATGGATCCGCCTCTGAATGAACAAAGAACTAGTTTTGTGACTTTAATGGGATAGTGGGTAAAATTCAGTAATTATACGTGAAATTTAGACTCTACTTTACCTTCTATTTTTGTTGGATTTTGGAATGTGGTACTAAACCATGGATGGGATTTCATTTATGTATCCATTGGCGTTTGAACTTTGAAGTGAACCCTGGAAGGCATTAATGCAGAATAATTTAAAATTATGCTTTGTGATGCTAGAAGGCGAGTTTGACTAATTCCTACCTATCCTTCATTTTTATAAAGAATGGGTGCTTTAGTATGCAAAGTTGGTTCTTTGATATATTATTTCTCTCCTGAATACTACTTGATTTGGATCTCTGCATAAAGGGAGAGAGCTGTCCTTTTTCTTATTGTTGTGGATGGAGTTTTTGTTTGCAAATATGAGTACTTATAGGGAGTCACAGCATCATAATCAACCCCATTGAAAATGGAAAGAGAGATCTCGAATGAATGGAAATAGAGATTTATAAGGTTGTTAAATTATGCTAGTTATCTCTGTCTTATCTGCTGCTGCTATCTCTCTTAGGTGTCTTTCTCTTGATACAAATTTAAAAGTCATTCGAACTTTCGCATTTTGTAAGACAGATGGAGCCTATAACTTCAGAGGTCGAAAGACACCTAGTTAACAATGCTTCACAGAAACCTCGGATTCTGCTTGCTGCAAGTGGAAGTGTGGCAACAATCAAGTTTGCAAATCTATGTCATTGCTTTTCTCAATGGGCAGAAGTCAAAGCAGTAGCAACAAAAGCTTCTCTTCATTTCATAGACAAACTGTCATTTCCAAAAGATGTCGTTCTTTATACTGATGATGACGAATGGTCCACTTGGAATAAAGTAGGTGATAGCGTGCTACACATTGAGCTCCGTAGATGGGCTGATATCATGGTTATTGCCCCTTTGTCAGCAAACACGCTTGGAAAGGTGATATTTTGTTATATCCTTTTATTCATAATTTTTTTTCCATGATTTGGGGTACATTCTGCTGCAGAAATGAATTTTGTTCTCTTATACTATTAACATTAGTAGTATTACTAAGTTCAGATAAATGTTTAGAATGAACTTAAATGTTCAAAAATGACTAAAATTGGCTGAGGAACAGTCACTTATTGAAGTTATTATCATGGAATTTGGTTCCCTGAATACTATACTCGTGTGCTGGGTTTGATGTTGTTGTTGTTGAATACTCGTGTGCCCATGAGCAATCCTGAAATTGGAAAAGTGACAAGACTGGAAATTCATTTTAAAACAGACGCACCCAAGGGGGTGGCCTAGTGGTCAATAAAATGGGTTGAGAACCACAATGTCTCAGGTTCAAATCCGAGCGAAGGCAAAAACCCTTGGTGATTTTTTCCAATCTGTCCAAGCCCATGGAATTAGTCAAGGTGCTGGACCGGACACCACAGTTATTAAAAAAATAAATAATTTAAAAAAGACATCCAGAATTGTCTGATATTAACATAAAATATGTGAAGGATTTAGTATCTCCTGCTATACAGTCATTTGAGGCTAGTAGCCTACTCTTCATTTATTTTTGCACATAAATTGAGATGTGATTTTCTGTTTGTAGATTGCTGGTGGATTGTGTGATAACTTGCTGACCTGCATTGTGCGAGCATGGGACTAGGATAAACCCCTCTTTGTGGCACCAGCCATGAATACATTAATGTGGAATAACCCATTCACCGAGCGGCACCTTATGATAATTGATGAGCTTGGCATCTCTCTTATACCACCGGTACCAAAGAGGCTAGCCTGTGGAGATTATGGAAATGGAGCAATGGCGGAGCCTTCTCTCATCTTCTCAACTGTAAGACACTGTGTACATTCACGATCACAATCGGGAAGCAGCACCATATAATGATCCATGTATCATGAAAATTCATTCATCGTTTCATCCAAGGCATAGATATTGCTGCTGAAGTTTGCCACAAGAATGTTTGTCCCGAGGATCCTATCCTGTTGGGACAATTCTCTTCATGGCTTGGCATGTTGGTCTTCTTCCTGTTCTTTCGCCTTCCTACTATCTTGTTTGTACTAGTAGGAGCTACTCGCGTCTTAGGTTTACTTTCATTTTGTATAATAGCTGCTAAAAATGGATGCAATCATGGACAGACATGTGGAAAACAGATGCAGCTCTTCGATTAGTGTAGCAAATGAGGCTGGAAACTCAATATATTTGGACTTTGGTGAGTAGGTTTACTTGTACAAATTTGTTGCTCTTAGATTCTCAGGTTTCTCATACTATGTAAACCTTTGCTGCACCTTCGGACATTTTAAAACTTTATTGGAGGCGTACACAAAGGTAAACCATGTGAACAACTGAAGATTTATGGGGCAAAAAGGAAGAAATCATACTAAACATTCTTTATGTGATACCTCCTAAACTTTTCAGACACTCACAGGTCATTTGAGTGATACAGAAATTTTAACTTCTTATCTTGGTAAGTGAATTGGCCTCCAAAAGAAAATATAAAAAATACCCCTGATGCACCAGCTGGGAATTGAACCCAGGTCTGTATCATGGTAAGGTACTATACTACCACTAGACCACTAGTGCATTGTTGTTACAGTACATTAAAATAAAATATATCATCATAGTTGAGTGATAAATTTAGCAAGTGCACACTAAATTTATATCATATATTCACGGATTTGGTGAAGCACAGGATGTGCATAACCTTTTTGTGTATATAATCCATTGTACGTCTGGTCACTTGTATTGCATTTGCATACGTGGTAAAGCGTTTTATTTTTTGAAAAATGTTGCATGTGAATATGTGATTCTTAAATTGCCTAAATTTAGATTCACTTTTAAAATCTGGACCAAAAGATTATATATTTTTCTCTCAACTATTAGTAAACATTTTTGTTTCATGTGACGTACTTAAAGTTTCTAAAATTTCTAGACATAAAATTCCATTGTATATCTACATAATAGAACTGAGATAGAAAATATATATTTATATTAAACCATCTTATTCTCATAATTTCACTTTTTTTTTCTCTGCTCGGATAATTATCCTTATCTAAATTTGTGTTTTCTGAACTCAATTTGCTTACTCTTAAGAATTAGGTACGTTAGATAAGAAGTCAAAATAAGAAGGAAAAATTACTTTAGATATTGTAATTATCATTCATAGCTATACTTTTAGAAAATTATCATTTGTAGCTATATTTGAATTTTATATCAAATTCAGTACTGAAATAAGAGCAAAGCTCTTATAGCTCGATTTGTTAGAGCGCCCACTTAGTAAGCAGAATATGGAGTTCGACTCTCAATCAGAGGATTCTATTTTCTGTATTTCGCTTTGGTCGTATTCGTTGTGCGAACGAATTCAGTCGATACAAGTTATAGCCTATGTCTAAACCCTTATATTTTGCCTTGGTTGTATTCATTGCGCGAACAAATACAGTTGATATATGAGATATTCGTTGTGCGTCTGAATACAACTGATACAAGTTGGTAATAATTGAATGGAAATTAAGCAAACTATAATTATGTATGATAATTAGGCTCTAAGTACTTTGCAAAAATTCCTCAAATAAGAACATATCTGATGAATCTATTTGGGATTTGGCAATATCACTTCCCATCACAGATTATTGGGGTATTATTTCTCTATTTCATCTTATTAATTCACCCACTGACATCTGTACGAGGATAACACATTTCTTAAAACAAAAAATTAGTACAGCTAGATTGTAAAGTTAATGTTAAGAAATAATAATATTCTTTTAATTTTCGTGGTACACCATTATATCCTATATCTTTTACATATTTTGGAGAAGTCAACTAAGCGAGTATCTTAAACTTTAATTTAAGAGGCAATTAATGAAACGAACCTGCATTAAACAGCATAGATTAGCGAGACAAGTGTACATGTGATGGCCATTTAATATAGGTGAAGTACAATTAATATAAAATTACAATAGCTGACCAATTGACAATTCCCAAGTGTAAACCCCATTTTCTTCTTCTTCTTTAATATTACCACCTGCCAAATTAATCATTTACTAACCTAATACACATGCATTAGAACTTGAAAAACAAGAGGTTAAGTGAGATTAACCTTTGCTTTTTATTTTTGTCTTGTCATTTTTTCATGTATTTTTCTTTCCAGCGTCTATTAATCCACCTCTCCACTTAGGTAGTATTTGGCTTTTTATTTTTTTTTATTTTTTTTATAGAGAGAATCGTGTTTAAGGTATTTTGAAAATAGTGGTTTTCTAATCTATCTATACTATATTAAAAGCACGAAGACCTTTAGCGAAATATCGTTCGCCTTTTTTACTCTTTAAAATATAGAGTTCACATTAGATAAAATAGTAATTTAAGTATTCAATTAATATTTAAAAATAATCATTTAATTAATTCTCCTATAATTTAGGAATAGCTATCTAATTATTCTCCTATTATTAACCATCTAGGAAAGACAATAAAATTTTGCCTAAATATTTTCCTATTCGTTCTACTCCCTACGTATGTTGGAGTAGTTTATAGCTTTAAGGTTTTGGAGACCCTTTTTGCAATTAAAAATTCTGCCTAGCCTAAATTTTCGCCCCTATGTTGGAGTATTGAATGCGTTTATTTTGTAGTTAATATCTTTTAGGTTTAGGAGATATTTTTGGTTAAATTTTTTTGCCTTAAATCACACACACAATTTTCTTTTTGGTTAGGAGACTTTATTATTTGGTAAAATTCACGTTATGTACGTTGCGTGTGCACCTAATCTCAATATATAAGTATGCTTACTAAAAGTTATATTCGAGTATAAAATAAAAACTTTAAATTTTTGAAATTGATGTATATTCAAATTCTATATATTCAACTTTTCAGTTTTAGCAAGAATACATAACTTTTAAAGATCTAAGAGCATTTCTAAAAAAATTGAAAAGTTATTTTTAAGTTCATTTAATAGACAGAATGCAATATTTTTTCTTTCTTGCGAGCAAAATACATGTTGTTATATTTTTTAATCAATATATATATATATATATAAAAGCACAAAGCCTCATAGCGAAATATTAATAAACCTTTTTACCCTTAAAAATAAATTTCAAATAGGATAACATTGGCATTTAATCATTTTTCGTAATAATTATAATTTGAAATCAATTATAATATTATGATAAAATTATTAACCTAATTGTCCATTTTTATTGATTACTACATAACGAATCATAATATACATGGTTATTAAGACAAAAGCAATATTCATAAGATATTCTAATTTCAAATTACTAATAAATTCTTTTGTATACGTTAACTTAATTTGTTACTTAATTAAATATTATTAGAAAAGATCATGAATAAATGAATAAAATTCTTTATATGTGTATTAATTTCATGATCAATATTTATCATTGAAATTCAAGAACTCAAACTTTTACTTAATATTATTTTTGTGACTAAAACCATGTTTGAATGTTATTTATATATTTTAAAAAAATAATTCTCATCAATATAGGGTACACGCNGAAATTCAAGAACTCAAACTTTTACTTAATATTATTTTTGTGACTAAAACCATGTTTGAATATTATTAATATGTTTTAAAAAAATAATTCTCATCAATATAGGGTATAATAAAAAGTAAATTATTGATTACTCAAAATCTGCTGCCTTGGACGTCACCGAGGTATAACCGACATATTCAGGACAAAAAGATTTATTTATTCTCATCGCCTATCTACGAATTACTAATATATACGAAAATCTCTATCCCCCGCAAATTTTGAAAGTTTTGGGGATTTGTGATTTGCGCATTTTTATATTTCGAAGCTTGGCAAATGCAATGTCTTGAGTTTACAAATATACACTACATTCAAGTGGTAAATTATTATCCGCCAGATATTTATGTAAAAATATATACTACTATTAAAATGTCACACTTGGAAAGTTTTGTCTTTGAGCCCGGAGATAAAGAAGAAGCGCTTTGCCTCGTTAGAGCGCCTACTCAACATGAATTCAAGTTAGTCATCGGACTAGTATACTTCAAATACACAAGTATTAAACAAAAAAGAAAATATTAATGAACAAGTCAACTTTCTCTTTAAATTCTTCTAATATTCTTTGCCCTTATTTGCCGGCCTACCCATCTCACAAAAAATATAAAAAGATACAATTTGTAACTATGTGACTTTGACCCCTTATTAGACTGGGTAGCGACTAAGATAATTAAAAAGAAAAAATTTGCTTTAAGTTCCTTTCTTAAGTATATATCTAAGTGCATGGATCCTATAGACGTGCCCTCAATGTTGGTATTTGTCATGCTACTACGTGCTTTCATGTTCAGCCATTTTCTAAATTGAGCCCGAATTAACAAAATATCATGTCCAGTTTAGAAGAAATTAAAAGCATACTAGAAGAGAAAGGATCAAGAAAATCCTTGTTAGTAACCAAGAAAATGACCTCTTCTCTTTCCAAAAAGAGAGCTAGGCTTTCCAAAAAAGAACTTGGCACCTTCTTTTATTCTATCCTAGCTAAACTTCTATGTCTTATCCCTATTGCAATCCTCTTCTTTCTTTTAATCTTCTTTTGGTCTTCTTCTACCACCATTATTTCTGGTAAAATTATCCATCTTTGCTTCCAATCCCGAAAACTCAATGATCTTTATTGTATTTCTGCTGGAACACAACCAAATCTTGAAACACCAATTAGCTCCTTTTCTAACGGTAGTTTTCCATCCGTTAATGGTACTGCAACGAAATTGGTTAATGATTTGCAACAAAAATCTACACGTCTTGGAATACCGATACCACCAGGGTACCATGCTTTCAGAAATGGCATGGTTAAAAGCGACGAGGAATTGTTAGTGGCTTATAATGATGTGGAAGATCAACTAATGGTGCATCGATCGTGGACATCGAGCCAAAACAATGCAAAGTGTGATGGTAGGGGAATATATGTGTATGAATTGCCAACAAAGTTCAACAAAGATTTGGTATCTCAGTGTGCTGACATGGTTCCTTGGGTTGATCTCTGTAGTTTCTTTAGCAATGATGCAATGGGTGAGCCAGTAGAAAAGCTAGGAAAAGGATGGTACCAAACTCATCAGTATTCATTGGAGTTGATATTTCACTCCAGGATTTTGAATCATCCTTGTAGAGTAATGAACAGAAGTGAAGCAGAGTTATTTTATGTGCCTTTCTATGCTGGACTTGATGTCTTGAGATGGCATTTCAAGAATGTTTCAAATGATGTCAAGGACTCTCTCGGACTAGACCTTGCAAAATGGCTCGAGTCTCAACCAACTTGGTTTAAGAGATCAGGTAAAATAGAACATTTAAATTTGATGGTTTCAATCTTTAAAATACTTGCACGGAACTCAATGTATCATTGAAATTATAAGTTCAGAACTTAATATTTGTTGAAATATAGTGAATCTTTTTACATGCATATACGTGTTCTGTTTGTGAAATATTGGGTTCAGTTGAACCTATAACACGTGAGCTACATTTGCCTCTGCAGGTAAAGACCATGTATTTGTCCTTGGAAAAATTTCTTGGGACTTCAGAAGATATAACAATTCCGATTGGGGAAGTAGGTTCTTGGAG